AACTGGGTGGTCTCTTTAAGCCTCAGTTTCCTTACTTGTAAAACAGGGAGATCCAGGACTTTGTGGCAGTCCAGTGGTTAAAACTCCAAGCTCCCAACAAAGAGCAGGTGGGTTCAATCCCTGGTTGGGGAACTAAGATCCCTCATGCCACCCGGTGTGGCCAAAAAAGTAAATAAAATAGGGAGATCCTTGTGGAATGGTAGGCCTGTAACATGAACTTGACTCTGATTATGACTGGCTGTCAACCCAGGGAAGCACACTAGAAGCCTGAAAGTGAGAACTACTTGCCCGGGGGGAGTTGCCCAACTTGTGTGCCCTAGGGAGCATGTCTCATGCAGATCTGAAGGCCCCGCCCCATGGAGTCTGACTCCACACCTGGGGTCTGGCTGAGGAATCTGCATTTTAGGTGACAGCCCAGGTAACGAACTCCCCCTGGGGAAACACTGCATCTAGCCCAAGGTTAAAGACACCCTGGAAAGCAGATCTGCCCTGGAGGAGAACATGTGGCCAAACAGAATGGGGCCGGGCGCGGCTGGGGACAATTGCCCGTTTATGACCTCAGGTGGACTTTGTTAGTCTCATGGCTAGAAAGAACCGCCATGCCACAGACACCTTTGGAATCTCTGGTTTGCAGAGATAGTGAATAATGACTTGTACCACTGTGCTTTACTCCCTGAGGGACAGAGTCCTAGCAATTGACTTAGGTCAGGATCTGGTTCCATCAGTCCCCCAGGCTCACAGCTGACTGCTCTGCTCTGTAAAATAGGAACAAAGATAGCATTGTCAGGATTAGTCCCACTGGCTTGAGGCTACACCCGGCAAGGATCCCACAGAGGGGTTAGGGACCCACATCTTAGGGCCGGCACGTTAGGGGTCCTTTGCTGGCTCAGTCACAGGAAGGTAGGGCCTAGGGAACATGAAAACATCTACAAGGAAACCACACACATCCTGGCCACATACCCCAGGGAAAAATAAGTGGTGGCTCCGGACACGAAGCCTGTGTGTGCGTGGACCTCCAGCCCTAACTGTTTAAGGCACCCTCATCTTAATCGGAGTCTCAATCTTTCTTCTGTTTTCTTTTTCCTAACCGCAACCTGGCCTCCAGGCTCTTCCTCTCTGACTGATCCTAAATGAGAGGAGAAGCAAGGCCCTGGTAGAGGAGCTGGGGTTGGGGAGGAGCGCTGAACTTGAAGTCCAGGTGGCTAGTCTCTCGTCTCAGGCTGGTCCCTGCCTACCGCAGTAATTCATCAGTGTTGCTAACTCAGACACAAGAGGTCATCCCAAGCATGTCACTACAAAATCGTTTGGAGAATTTGAGGTGAATGCCAAATCTTTCTCTTTCTCAGAAGTAGTATTAAAACAATTTCTGCTCCATCCCAGCTCTATGGAAAATGCAGACAGACATACTGTCCTACCCCTTAGTGAAGGGCCCGCAGCACTGTCATCCCTGGGCCCCCACGGGTTAGGCATGTGGCAGGAATAGCCTGAAAGAGCAAGTGAACTTGTTCCTGCTCTGCACTGTGTGGACATCTCCCTGCTGAACATGTGGTCCACCTCCCTGTTACCTGTAGCCCCCTTGCGCTCACAGGGAGGGGTGGCCTCTCAATCTCCTTCCATGGGTCCCAAGCCCCTCCAACTTGTAGGAGCTGGAGAAACACTCAAACGCAGGGGAAGCCAGGCGTCACCTCCTAGAGAGCAAGGGAAAGTGAGGAGCTGCTAGCAGCCCAGGGCTACAGGCTCTTTTCGGGCAGGATCCCTGGGCAGCAGGTAAAGCAAAGAAAACCTCAACCTCAGGACTGGACAGGGGGTCAGCACCCACCCTACCCCCTCCCCAGAGGCCCTTGGGGAAGGGGACAGTGTGTGGAAGGGAGCACTCCCTCGCAGACTGGCACCCATCTGCTTCAGAGGAAGTCCAGGCTGTCAGTTCCTTAGAGTAAGGGGTGGGGGGTGGGGGCTGGGTTCCATTCTCCTTAGAAGCCCCAAACCCTTAATGGGGTCTGGTCTTGCAGGGAAGAGATTTAACTTGAGCTAGACTGAAGCTGACAAGGAAATAACACTGTAGGAGTCTCCTGGGGCTGCGGTGACAAGCAACCACAAATCTGGTGGCTTAACACAACAGAAACGTGTTCTCTTATGTTCTTGAGGCCAGAAGTTCAAAGTCAAGGTGTGGGCAGGGCTGTGTTCCCGCTGAAGGCTTCAGGGGAGAATCCTTCCTGCCTATTCCAGCTCCTGGTGACTCCAGGTGACCCTTGGCTCCAAAGCTCTGCCTCTGTCTTCATAGGGCCTTTTTCTTACCCAGTCTCTGTTGTTGTTGTTGGTTTTTACCCCCCTGTCTCTTATAAGGCCGCTGTCCTTCAGGGCTGACTCTAGTCCCCAATCTCATCTTGATTCTTAACTGAATTATATCTACAAAGACCCTTTTTCCAAATAAAGCCACCTTATGAGCTTCTGGGTGAACAGGACCTTTGGGGGGGACACGCTTCATCTTAGTGCATACTTTGAGTAGCAAACAGCACGGGCTGAAGTGACAAGAAGGTGGCTGGGAGCTGGGAGCCCTCAATCTAGTTGCTTGTGGCTCAGTTGCCCCAGTTGCCAAGGAGCTCCACTAGCATCTCCGACCTCCATGCCAGCTGGGAGGTGGGGTTCCTGATTCCTTTTACAGATGAAGAAACTGAGGCTCAGAGGGATCAAATGAATGGCCAAGGTCACATGGCCAGCTAGAGCTGGGCCTGGAATCCAGATTGACTGGCACCAGAGCTTAAGGGTTTCACAGTCAGGTCTGGCTGGATTTGAGGAAGCCCTCAGCACCCATTAGGTCCCAAGATCTTTCCACTCCAAGGAACTTAATTTGTCAACAGAAAGCAAAGGTGAACTGTTTTGGTTTTCATATTCCTTCACTTCCTCATATTGTAGATTTGGGAATGTGGCTACTTCCCTGGAATCACTTGATAAAGTGCAGTTGGGGAGAACAAGGATTAACTCAATTACTCATAGGAGTCAGTCTGTACTGGGGAAGGAAGTGGGGACCCAGCTGGGCCCAGCCTTGCCCCTGCTGCCTGTGAGGATGTGATACACTTGGGAAGCTGTGCTGACCTTCACCTGGATGCCTGCTCCTTCCCAAGAACAGTAGGCAGTTCCAGGAAAAGTAGCCCAAAGAGTGGAGGGGGTGGAAGACTGGGAAGCAACTGTGTCCCCCAACCCCTCACCCCTCAACTATGGCTCTGCAATGTCTGCGCAACTTTGAAGTCCCCAGGCTGGAGAACGTCTTGTTAGAAGGTTTCTAGTATCTTGGACCATGTCCTGAAGAAATGCATTCATTTATTCAGTCAACCTCTATTGCTTAGTACCCAGCACCAGACTGTTGGCTCCACAGGCGCGGAGGCAGGCTTGGCTCGCAAGCCCCCCCACCCGCCCCCCACCCCGGAGCTGCTGAACGAATGTAAAAGCGGGCCAGATGGAGGGATCGACAGGCAGGGCCGGGAAGAATGACTTTCTTGCTCCCAGGGCCTAGGTTTCCTTATTGGAGATGGCAGACCGCTGCCTGCAGTTATGGCTGGGCCACCACCTTCTCCCCCGCCTGTCCCCAACCCGCACTCCGGGCCCGTGGAAATGCTTTCTGACCCTGGCCGGTGTGCTTACATCCTCTGGGCTCCCGGAGCTGAGGAAGTGACTCGTGAAAGGAGGCCGGCCTAACGGCTCCATTTGGGCGAGGTTTTCTCACAAAGCTTGTTCCCGTCACATCCCAGGACAGGCCGGCAGCCTCAAGGATGCGGGCGCCGGGCCTTTGGGAGCTCACGACCTTCTCATGGGCCCCCGGAGGCGGCCTGTGGTCACCCTCACTTTCGGGGGAAGCACCCGGGGCTCAGAGAGGCCAAGCCACTCGCCCAAGGTCACGAAGCTTCGCAGAAGCAGAGCAGGAATGGCGATGCCGGGGGGGGGGGGGGGGGGGGGGGTCCTCCGTAGGCCCTCTCTCAGCGGCTTTTCGAAGACACCCGCTACCTCCCTATTGTGACGCTCAGGAATAAAACAGGAAGGCCGGACGCCCGGCTTTCACCTAAGACAATGCTCCACGCAAATCTGCGCGAACAAAAGCAACCATAAATCCGCCTCTGGTTTTCGGCCCACCCGGCCCTCGCCGGCCAATTGACTCCACAGGCCGCCGCGGGGCGGGCCAGGGAGGTTTCACTGTGATCGACAGCCCCGGGGAGGCGTGGCCTCGGCAAGGGCGAATAGGATTGGGGATCCGGAACAATCGCAGGCCGAGAAGGCGCAGCGCGGACCAATCAGAGAGAGGGGCGGGCTCGGCCGCCCGGCTTTCGTGAGAGGCCGCCTCCCCGCCCACTTGCGCCTAGTCTCGGCGCCCGTCAGCTGCGAACGCGGCGCTCGGCCCGGATTCGTCCGCGGCGCTGGAAGCACAGGCGCGAGGCCGTGGCGAGTGCCGGCACAGATCCCTCCGCCGCCCGCTCCCGAGCCCTCTCTGAGCGCCGCTCCCGAGCTGCCGCGGCCTCTGTCCCGGGTAACGGCTGTCGGCCCAGCGCGGCGGCATGGCCCGGGCGGCTCCGTCGGGGGGCGGCCCGCAGTGACAGACCCTGCGGCGCGGGGGGAGATGGGGGCGGCCGCCTCCCGGGCGACGACGACGACGACGACGACGAGGAGCAGCCGCCGCCGCCGCCGCGCACCGGCCGCCGCCGGGGACGGGCGCGGGCCAGGAGCCCGCCCGTGAGCGGGGGGCCCGAGGCCAATCGCCGCCCCCGGCCGCCCCGGCCGCCCCGGGCCCCCCCGGCCCCCCGCGCGCGCCCGCCCGCCGGCCCCTGGCGGGGGTCTCGCCCGCGCCGCGCGCCCCCGGCCCCAGCGCAGCCCGCGGCGCCCGGCCGCCTTCGCCCTCTCCCGGCCCCGGCCGCACCCCCGCCCGCGCCCGCGCCCGCCCGCGCCCCCGGCCCCGGCCCCGGCCCCGGGCGGCGGCCCCCGGCCCCGCGTGGCGGCGCGGCGCGGGCGGCAGCATGGTGGAGAAGCGCTGCCCGCTGCAGAGGGACGGCGTGTACCGCTGGTTCTCGGAGCTGCCGTCGCCGCAGCGCGTGGAGTTCCTGTGCGGCCTGCTGGACCTGTGCATCCCGCTGGAGCTGCGCTTCCTCGGCTCGTGCCTGGAGGACCTGGCCCGCAAGGACTACCACTCGCTGCGCGACTCGGAGATCAAGGCCAACAACCCGGCCGACTTGGGCAGCCTCACCAACCTGACGGACGAGGTGGTGCGCAGCAAGCTGCTGGTGTCGCTGGCGCTGCTGGGCTCGGAGCAGCGCGAGGCGGCGGGCGTGTTGTACCGCACGCTCACGCACATCGACTCCATCATCCACAACTACGGGCTTCAGCTCAACGAGGGCCGCACGGGCGATGAGTTTCTGCTGCTCTTCACCATGGCCTCCAACCACCCGGCCTTCAGCTTCCACCAGAAGCAGGTGCTGCGCCAGGAGCTCACGCAGATCCAGAGCAGCCTGAGCGGCGGCGGCGGCCCCGGGAGCAAGAGCGCGCTGCCCACCTGCCCGGCCTGCCACAAGGTGCGTACCCGCGCCCCAGGCCCCCACCCCAAACCCCCACCGGAACCCCAGACCTCACGCCTTCCTCCCCAAGCTGCCACATCAACCGCAAACCCCTACCCGCGCCCGCAGCTTCAGCCCTAACCGTGTGCTCGCCGACCCCCCACCCCAGCCTCCCACTCGCACCCCAAGCGTCCGCTCCGCACTTGACTCGTGTCCCACGCCTCTCCACCCGGCACCTCCAGCCCCACCCTCACCTCAACTTGCCATCCCCACCTTGCACTCCGAACCCGCACCTCAGGATCGCCCCCCGGCCCCGCACGCCCTTTGGGGGCCCGGGGGAGGGGGCTCCGGGATTGGGAAGAGCGCCCTGAGCTGAGTTTGCGCCGGCCAGGCCTTCGGTCCACGTCTTCCGCTGGAAGCGTGATAAGGCCTTTGTCCCCTTAATCAGGGTCTTGGGAGACAGATAACCGCTACACATTGTGTCCTCTTGGTTCCTCCAAATCTGGTGTTTATTATCAGAAAAGGAAGCCGCTAGTGAGGTGGGAGGTGGAGATTAGAAGGTGCTGGAAGGGTAGAAGACGTTCGCGGGGTGCCGTGCGGGGCCCGAGGCCTAGGTGCCGGTATCCCCGGAGCGGCGGGGCCCGAGTCGCCCCGAGGTTAGGGTCGGCACGGGCCGCAGGCCGCCGTGGGCACGTGTCCGTGTGTGCGTGTACGTGAGTACACACGTGAGTGTGTGCATGTGTGCGTGTGTATGGAGTGCATATGTGTATTTCTGAATGTGTTCCTATGTCTGTGTTTATATTGCTTGTAAGAATCAGGCTATCATAACAGAAGGAAAAATAAGTTTGGAGCCTTGAACACCCGTGAAACAATTGCTTCTCGGTGACCCGCCTTCCTTTGTAGGAACGGATCCCAGACTGATGGGGAGCCGGCTAGGACTAGTTAAAAGATCTGGTGTCTTCAAATTAAACAGGAAGGGCAGAGTGGTCCTTCACTTAGAAATGTGAACTTTTGTCTAAATGTTTCAAAACTATGTAAACACAAAGTGTTTGGAGCTCAAACTTATTTTTAGCAGCCCCCTGGGACCCTATGCTAAGATTGTGCTCCAAGCAAAAGGATTTATCTGTGACCATGTGTGGTGTGTGTTTTTGTATTGAAACTGACTTTATTTTGGAAGTGGAAGATTGCAGTCACACCAGTAGTCTTAAGTGCTTTTTGATCAAGGCTGAGTGTCCTAAACTAAAACTTTGATTCTCTGGTTTGCTAGTGGTGGTTTTTAAGCTGTCTTTCACTGGTGAATTGTGGCTTTTAATGACTTCCTTTGAGACGTGGTTGTGGTACCTACATTGGTTTTTAATCTGTCATATCTCTTTTGAGATAGGTACCACCTCTGAGACTGTAGTCTCCTTTTTAAAGTGTGTGTTCAAATCGCAACTTAAAAATGTTCTTGCAGTTACAACAAAGGGAGCGCAGGGTCCTGTGAAATGTGGTTGTCCCCAGGGAGCTCAGTAGGCTTTGGGGTGCTGCTGCTCATGGGGGTTCAGTCCCCAGTGGCCAGTTTCACCAGTCAGTCCTCTGCTCCTGTTCCTCAGCACTGCCGATGTCCGTGGCTGTTACACCATTCGTAGTCAGCTCTTGAAGGGGATTCTTTAGTGTGTACAGATGCATCGCCTTATAAAAGCAGAAGATGGTGATGATTTTAATGGGGCAGTGAGCTAACGCTGGAAAAAAATGGGCAGTGAGCTAAAGATAGAAAAAAATATCTTTGATAAGAGAGACTTTTTGTAAAACCAGAACTACCTCTTGGATGAGTTTCGGGGGCTGATTCCCCTCCCCAATCCCTCCTTCCTCCCTCCTCTGCCTTTCTGGCATGGGTTCAGAATTGACCAGCTGTGTGACCTTGACCAGACTCCCCTTTTCCTGGTGTTTTGGAGTGGATGGCCTTGTTGCCTTGTTTGGGGGCTCCATGAGGTCCCCTGTGAAGTGTCTAGTAGATATGCTGTGAGCTTCCTTTGCTGCCTTGTCATCTTTGACTTTCTTTAGAGGAGCACTGAATTTTATTTATTTATTTTTAATGTTTTTGGCTGCAACACAGGGCTTGCAGGATCTTATTTTCCTGGCCAGGGATTGAACCCAGACCCCTGGCCATGAGAATGCCCAGTCCTAACCACTGGACTGCCAGGGAATTCTCTAGGAGCACTAGCTTAAGTAAGGTATGTTGTTAGGGAGTGAAATATTTATGTTTCAGAGTGTTGGTGTTTTCTAAGTTGAGTTTTGAATATGTAGTTACTTGGAGTTGGCATTTTTCTTGTTCATCTGTGGGAAATTGGAGAGATCTGGCTGACCCTTAATAATGAGGTTATAGTGAGTAACTTTGGGGGTTCTTGCTTCCATGTTTCAGAAACAGTCATGGTGTATAGTTTTATCTGGACAAACTAAGCTCACTCACATTCATTTAACTTTCTGTTCCTTTGCTGATGTCAAGTGTATGCCTGACACTGATGCAAAACTTACGTGAAATCTACCATGTAGACCTTTGCCTTCTTGGTTAAGTCTGACATTTAGGGCAGTCCTGAAAGAGCAGCCTGGTTAAATCTCTGTTTGCATTTCTTTTTTAAGATGTTGTGTTTTGTTTTGAGCTCTCTGAGTTTAGAGACTTTGTTTCTTTTGGAGATAAAGATGTTGGTGTTTTTTTTAATTCTTTATCCTGTTTAAAGAGAGACTTCTAGTAATTAAATTTTCTGATACAGTGGTTATTTCCAGCTGCTTCTCCAAAGTCTCACTGTGTTATTTTAAAATTCTTTCTCCTGTATGGCAAAAAACACTACAATATTGTAAAGTAATTAGCCTCCAACTAATAAAAATAAATGAAAAAAAAATAAAATTCTTCCTTCTCCAAGGACTTGTAGAAGTTTAAAAGTGTGAAGAATATAAACCAGACATTTTAACTTTCAGAAAGGAAGGTGTTCATAGCAGAAAACCTGGAGGGAGAGTAGGGTGGCTTTATGGTGCTCCGTAGCTGATGGCACTATAGGTGTGTAGTGCAAACTGGTGATGGAGGCTGGTTTCCACTTGACCCTGCCTCTGTCTCTCATTTTATTTAATTATAAAGTCATCATTTGGGAAAGCGTTTACAGTTATCCTTTGCTGTCTTTTCTCTGTATAAGTGATAAGGTGCTGTGGTGTGTGCTTATTTTTTTAAATAACAGCTTCATTGAGATTTAATTCCTGTATTATGAAATTCACCCCTTGAAGGTGTGTGATGCAGTGTTTTTTCGTATATTCATAGAGTTGTGTAACCATCACTGCTGTCTGATTCCAGAACATTTTCTTCACCCGTAAAAGAAATCTGTGCCGATTTGTGTCGCTTCCCATCCCCCCTCCCCTGGTCCTGAGAACGGCACTACGTTGTGTCTGTGGGCTTGCCTGTCGTGGACACTTCGTGTCAGCGGGACTACGGTGTGTGGTCTCTGGCTGACTGCCTTCCCTCAGCGCACTGTTCTCAAGGTTCACTCATGTTGTGTGGGGCCTGTGTTAGCACTTCTTTTAGGTTGAGTACTGTCCATTATGTGGATGGATATACCCTGTTTTGTTTATCCATCAGTTGATGGATAGGTGGATTGTTTCCGATGCTTGTTTCTAGACTTTTTTCCCTTTGTGGCTAGTAGACTCTTGTCTTAATCCCTTACGCCTAAAACTCACCTGGTCATCTTTGGAGTGTTGCCAAAATCTGGCTGTTCTGAGGGACCTGACCCTCAAGACCGGAGTCCACCTGGCGGATGGCTGTGTAGCGCTCAGCGCAGTGCCCTGCAGGTCTGACCCTGGGCTCCCAGAGGGGCTGCGCTGAAAGTGGCAGAGGCCACTCTGCTCTTGGGGCTGATGGTCAGCTCCAGGGGCACACTGTGAGCCCCTCCTGCCCTTGTGTCTGGAATCCTTGGGTCAGGAGCCTCACGGACCTATTAGGAGAGGGTGTAGAAACTGTTTTTATTTTTTATTTATTTATTTTTTTTTTTAGAAACTGTTTTTAAAGTGCTCAGTGCAGGAGTGTGGCGGGTGGTGGTGGTCTTCTGGCCGTGTGCCCTGGTCCAGCTCTGGAGCCCTCCGCTGTGGGATGAGCATCAGAGAGGCTCGGGGTCCGCACAGGTGCAGTGAACACACCTGCTTACAATCCCTCACCCAAGGCGAGCAAGAGCTTACTTTGTGTCATTGATTTTCCAAAAGTTTTTGGAAATCATTGCAGTTCCAAAAGGGAGATACCGGGTAGTTTGTCATGTGAGCTAGAAGTAGCTTCCTCTGGTTTCTCCTTTAACCCTAAACCCTGGCCTGTTGGAGCTGGAAGTCATCTGAAACCACAAGGAGGGACTTTGCTTGGAGCCGCTGCGCTTCCTGCTCAGGTTAAAGGAAGCACTGTGTCTAGGAGGCCACTGCGGCTCCGCAGTCACGCTTGTTCCGGGCAGCCCACGTCCAAGGCCACCCGTCAAGGCCACTCCCAGCAAGTCTAACTTCCTTCAGTGCGCTGCAGGAGAGGGTGTCCTGAGATAGATTGATTGGATTTTTTTTTTTTTTGGCCAGCTTTTGTAGGTCCTAAAGACTGTCCTCTTTTTATAGTGAAGTACATGGTATAGGAATTGAGACATCCTGGGGTGCAGTTTTAACTGCTTTCTTGCTGCTGGTGTATTCATTGCAGATGAAAACCCCTTACCTCTTCTGTAGCTGCCGTCCTGCTGCTTTCCTGCTGTACAATGGCTCAGACTATGTGACACTTGAATTACTGTCCTTTGCCCTCAGGTTAAATTCAGGCCACTTGCTTTGACATGAGCTAGTTTACATGTGCGTTGTTCAACTCAACAAACAGTTGTTTCCTATTCCACATGTGTTCTGGGGTGTAGTTGTGGAAGCTGGAAGTTTCCTATCCTGTTAGGACATGATGAGCAATGGGGTGGCATCACTGAAGCAAGTTAGGACGTAAGTGTAGATAAACATCAACATTAGCCTTGTTTCTGCCGTTTTTGAAGTTC